ACAGTGACCAAAGAGGATAGAAGGAGAATTGATGCCTTTGAGCTGTGGTGCTGGAGAAGAGAATTGAGAATACCATGGACTGCTAGGAAAACAAACAGATTGGTCCTGGAAAGGGTTAAACCGGGTGGCTCCTTGGAGGCAAGGATTCTGAGGCTCCGTCTAACATACTTTGGACATGTTGTGAGGAGAGACAGGTCCTTGGAGAAGGACATCATGCTTGGGAGGGTGGAGGGATGGCGCAGGAGGGGAAGGTCCTCTATGAGGTGGATTGATTCAGTGACTGGGATAATTGGGATGGGAGTGTCGGAGACAGTGCGATTGGCACAGGACAGAGCAGAGTTTAGGGCTGTTGTACATAGGGTCGCTATGAGTCGCAAGCGACTCGATGGTACATAACAACAACAACAACATAATGTCCTCGAGGGTCACCCATTTTGAATAATATTGCTAGACCAATTTTCTTATGTGGAGTTTTACCCTTAAATATAGCTAACCTTTTTGAAACAGCAAGTATTTTGCATGTATATTTATATCTTTTTATTTCGATTTCCTCTAAAGCTTTTCTTTCAAGTGACTATACAGTACTTCTTGGTACCATCTCGTTTTCTGTTTGTTTGCTGACCCTCCCTTTGTTTTGTTTTGCTTATTTGGAGGGCTATAACAGAGGCATAAATAATTCTATCCAGTAATTTTAACTTAACGAAACAAACTTGAGCCAGCCGTGAAACATTTCTAGTGTTGTTCTATATTTATCTTAGATGTTGCCCTTTAGAACCTATTTTGCCCCAGTCACATGTTTTTTAATATCAATTCTGTGTTCATGCTAGAGAGTCTTTTTCCTTAACTTGTGGAAAGAAAAATGCCTTTCCTGTGAATCTGTTTACTTTGAAACAGGGTCTGTAACTTAACCATCTTAAAGAGAGAAGTCCCCTTGGCATTCTGGCCAGCCTGACCCAGACTGCTGTTTTTATTCTGCAGCAGAATTCCATTCAGATAAATGGTACATATGCTAATTGAATTATAAGCAAAAATTTAGGATTTCTTATCATTCATACCTCTTTTAATTCTGTCTTAAATTTGCACTGTTGGTGAAAGGGAACAGTGTATGGGATGCTTTCGGCAGCCTTTTTTTTGTTTAAATAAACACATTTTAAAAAAATGACAAATGCATCACGTGCTCAAAGCAGGTATTGCCTAAGAGCATGTACAGGACAGTAGTTAAGATAGAAGCCCTATCAGTTTTTAAAAAATCAACTGACTGTAAACTTTCAAAATGACTGTTCTTTTAGGATAGTAGTGTAATTATTTAGGCTTTCTGTTGACCTTTCAGAAATAAGCAAGTAGCCTGGCCTCATTTGTAAGTAGAATCCTTTGTATGTGTGAGCTCCCCCATAGTTCATAACTCATTAAGAGTCAGTTCTGCTCCTTAAAGCCCCACCCTCACAGTCGTCACACACAAATAAGATCATAAGGGGAAGGATGGGAGAAAAGAGTTGTCTTTATAAAACTCAGCCCCCAAAACTCAATATACTTTTGATTTTCATCCTTTTATTTTTTTCAGACTTGGCCCAAGAATTTAGCTCTGTTTTCTCTTCAAAGTACTCACCTCCCCAGCTTAATGAATTTATGTTGCTTCCTAACTCAGAGTAGGAATAACTAGCCTTGTACAGCCTTAAAATAAATACAGTGCAAATGCCAGAAGTGGGTCTTGTGATCCATGCCTCTAATCTGGTACTTTACTGGGTAGGCAGCAATGTCTTTCTCTACTTCATGAGAAAGGAGATTTTTCTACATCTTTCTCATGACTGCCAAACCAGGAGTGTTTAGAATGTCATGCACAATAAAGATAAGGCTTAAGAAAAGCAAAAAATCATTGAGAGAATAATGCTTCTATGAATAGAGACTAGCCACCCTTTAAAAACAAAACTATCCTGATGACAGAGCAGAAGGAATTAGCTTCTTAGGAGCTTCTCAGCCAAAACCAGCTTTGAAAATAGAGTGGCTTAAGAGTGAGCATTGCCGCCTCGCTTGTCTGTGAGCTGTGTTCCAGAACATCTAGGGCTCAGGTAATGACTTTCCATTGTTTGTGAAAGAAAGGGCAGGAAAAATACACACTCTTGTCCAAGTTTCTGGTCTGTAAACTGAAAACGGAAATTTTCCTGGTGAGTGCAGTTTAAATGTGAGGACATCTCAATACAGAATGAGATGGAAAGTATTTTTAAGGTGAAAGATCAGAATAATATTTGGCCTGCATCCCTATTAATGATATTTTTATCCATGGTTTACTATATTTTTAGCCTTCCAAGTGACTTTCTAAACAGGCTTGTTTGTGCTAGCTGTCCCTTTGTTTGGTGTAGAAAAAACTGTTACCCTTTTCCATACTATCTGCTTTTCTGATCCATTAGTGAATCTGGTGAACAACTAGGAAATCGGGAGATGTGCTGAGCCTCGGATTAAACAGAAGGCCTCGTGGGATCAGAGCAGTGGTTAATGACGCGATCTCCAGCGTTGTCCACCCCTCATGTGACTCCCTGCGCTACCATAGCTCTTGACAGACAAGGGAGGAGTGGAATGAAACGCTTTTATTTTTTTCAGGGCTTGAGCTCTTCGAGAAATATAACCCTGACCTTACTAGACTTTGGACATTTTTCAAACCAAATATCTTAGAATAAAGACTTATATAAAATAATTTTTTGTAGTATTCTCCAACTTTTGGTTTTTTCATTTTATCTCATAAAACTCAGTTGGGGAGGAGTAGGTTAAGGGGGAGTATATGGATGTTAGACTAAGAAAGGAGGAGGCTGAGGCTGTGCATGTAAATATTTTGGAATTTGAGACAGTAGGAGTGTTTTCCTTAAAATTCTTTTTAGGCTGATTTTTCTCATTCACCTTAGGAATGCCATATAATTAATTTATTTGCTCTCCTGGCCTTTCCCCTCCTCATCTTCAGCACCAGTGGAGTGGTAATTGCATCAAATTGAGGGGCTTCATTTCCTGCTCAGCCCTCTTGCTGCCCCCTCTTCCTGCAGGCGGTATGGTGGGTGGGGTGATTGCCTGCCTGCTCTGGTGCTCTCCCTTCCCTCACTCAGTGTTAAAATTGTCCCCTTCTGGCCTACCCCTTACCTTTCCCTAATCATGTCTGGGACTCTCGTAGAATTATTCAGCAGCTCTTCTGAAGAAGTACCTTATACACTTGATTAAAAGCCCAAAGAGGCTTCAGTGATCCTTTTCTCCCCCAGCCTAGAGCAGCATCTGCCAATTTCCCTGATTTTTCTTGCTGATTGTCTTCAGTATTAGCAAGAATTCATTTAACATGTTGCATCTCCAGCTAGGCTGAGCATCGGCTGAGGCAATGCAAATAGCCTCGGGCTGTGGACTTTCAACTTATGGACAACTCCTACTTAGTGCTTTAAAGGTTTGTGCTTTTGCTGTCACTCTGAAAGAATGAAGCCAACACATACTTGCAATAAATTCATCACAATCACCTTCACTTGCTGCATGGGCACCTTTTAAGCCTTTGAAAAGACTTCCATCCCTTTCTTATACTAAAGGCTAAATCGGTAAGAATCATATACACCTGTTCCAGCTCACCTACACATTCTACTTAAAGATTTAACTGCACAGTTAGGAATGGACTTTGTCAGCAGGAATTGCTTGTAGTGGCTGTGCAGTTAGAAGACCATAGATTTTAATTCAATAGAGTCTATGTCCTCATTCCAAATAAAAATAAAATCTACCAAGTTCTCTTCTTTCTGCTCTGCTCCTATACCACATATATGGTTTAATTTATTCTCTCTCATACTGTACCTTCCCGTCTTATCCCACTTCTTTTCAGCGTATCACTGAGTCTGGTAACTGCTTTACAGTGACATGGGGTTAAGAGCTTGACCTTCTGAGTTAGGTAGTGAATTCCTTCAGGCTCTGCCATTTAATAGTGGAATGTCTCTGAGCAAGTTATTTAACTTCTTTAAGACTTAGTTTGCTCATTATAAAGGGAGAATATATCTACCTGCCGAGGTTTAATATTCATCACAATATGTACAAGGGTTGACAGGCACATGGAGCATAAGTATTCAGTAAATGATGGTGGTTGTTATTAGTAGAGATAATCTTTTTAAGTTATTATTTCTATACCTTATGAAGCATTGGTAGATTCACATTTGTTATGAACACAGAAAAAACCTGTCTATTAATTATGTGAATGTAGATTAAATAATTGAGTGTAAAAATCTACAGTCTCCATTCTTAGAGTTTAAAGAGAAATTGAAGTTGGTGTCTGTTCTGCTTTCCCTGTGTCATTGCTTTATTTTGCCTTTCCAGTTCATATTTATTACTCATGCTGATTTCAGACATTGCATGCACACATGTATACACATGCACAGTCAGCTTATACATAAAGTATTTATTGCATTTCAGAATTTAGTATAACAAGCTCTATTATAGGTAGATGAAAATTAGTATATTAATATTAAACTTACTCAATTTGAGAAAGAGTTCTCCAAAACACAAAATGCTAGGAGTTTGCAAGTATCAAGCACTATGGGTTAAGTGGCTCAACCAGTGATTCTGACGATAGGCTCAATTTTTTTAATGAGGCCATTATTGAATCTTAAAAAATATTTTTTGTATTATCATTTATTATCTTGTAGATAAATTTATCAGAGATTGAGAATAGAAGGAGTTTCAACTAACAGTGTAAAATCTGATTTACAGGAATGCTTGAAAATTCACTCAGCCCCATTGGCTTAAGTCTGGCTCTTGATGTTCTAAATTCTAAAGCAGTCTTTTTTTCCCCTTTATAAAAATGACATTAAAAGTCTATACTATAATATACAGAAGGAATTCTGTGCATGAATATGTATGTTTTGCCCAAGTTCCTACAGATGGGGTTGGTTGTGTTTGGTAATTTGATGCAGTTAAATGTTAGATAAAATTTCAGTAATACACCAAAAAAAATATAAAGGACAAGAATAAAAATTCCGCTTTCTTTTTTGTTCCAGGTTCTCTGGGAGATGCTAACAAGGGAGGTCCCCTTTAAAGGTTTGGAAGGATTACAAGTAGCTTGGCTTGTCGTGGAAAAAAACGAGGTAAGACTACGTTTCTACATTCAGGTACATAGATCAGAAAACAGTATTGGGGTTTTGCAAAAGACTTTTTCATCTTCTTCAAATTGAAAGTAAGTTCACGCTTATGGAAAGATTAGCAGTAGGAGCTAACACAAAGGGTCAAAGTGATGTTATTCCTCATGAATGGACCCTTTACATCTAATTGTTGCAGCTTCACGTCGTGATGCTGTAGATCAAAAATTGTACAAGTACTGTACTAGTTTCTCAGTCTCAATTGTAAAACCTAGGGGTTTGTTCTTAGTGATGAAAGAAGCCATTGCGTCCAAGGTAGGGGAACAGTTTAACTCCATCTCCTGCGTTTAGGACATCTTTTTTACTGGCCGGGAGTTGATATATCTGTAAGAGACCTTCAGCTACTTCAACTTACCTCTCCCAGCAGGAGTCACTATAGTACAAGAAACTGTCGCTTAGATGAGAATTTCAAAAATAAAAGAAGAAAAAAATAGTTTCAAAAAAGGGAAAAATTACAGTTTTGCCACCTACGTTGAACACTACATTGAAGATGAGCTTCTCACTGGAATTGGCGAGGCAGTGGCATAACTGTTCGCTTCTTCATGCAGAGCCTTTCCATTTCAAAAGAACTTCAGTGGCGTAAACACCGTTTGTGCTGTGTCCCCAGCCTCGCTTTTCTTCTTCCCACAAATTGAGGCTTTCAGTTAGTTGGACCTATGAGCCTACATCAGAGAACATGGTACATTCATATCAAAGAGAGCAACTACATTTTGAAAGGTTTAAAATTGTGACTGAAACGCACAGCCATGGAAATTCTCAGCATAAGGATGAAGCATCCAATATCAAGGTATTATGAGAACTTAGATCATGTAATGGAAGCATGTGGTTGTCTGTGCACTGCAAAACAACTTTATTTCATAAAACTTCTTCATTTCCAGATCTTATCTGTGCTCTCTACAGAGGGGGAATGTGCAACCTTAGGAAAATAATTTACCAAAATGATGGATATATAAAAACATTCCCTTTTTAATTCTTTAAAAGAATTGGATTGATCTGATCTCTTTGTGAATGCAGGGAGAAACTAGATAATGAAAAAAAACTGCTATTGATGAAGAGAAACTAAGTCCCCATGTTTTAGATCACATAATGCATACTTTTTAATGTGCCCTCCTGGTTCATTGGGAGTGGATGAAATGTTCATGATTGCTGAACGGGATGGGAGGAAGCTGCCAGTTTAAGAAAAATTAAAAGGAACTAGATTCAAGAATGTGTCTTCCTCATTGTTTTGCAGAGTGGTTCAGTTTTAATTGAAAGTGATAATTCCTGGGGTGTATTAAATTGGACCTCACACCTTTCACAGGATAACTAATATTTTCTTTATCTGAGGAACTTGTTTCTGTTCTGGTTCTTTTGCTAGTGAGTCAGTTAAATGTTTGGTTCAGATTTTACAGATGAGAGTGAAGAATATTATGGACCATCTATTGACATTGAAGCAAACCACTCAACTGAATCTTTCACTTCTAAAAAGCTTCCAGATAAATGAAAAGAAAGGGGTTTTTGTTTTACCCCAAGCTAATGGAGCCCTCCAGAGATATGTAATATAGAATAATTGTTATTTTAAATAATACTTTATCTAAAAGGTAGCATAATAGGAGTGAATCTAAAACCTTTTTAAAATGTTGGATTATTTGTCGAAGATTGTTATAGTTGAAGAGAAAAATAAATTTATAAATTAATTGCTTTTGTATCATTTAATTGGGATTAAGAATTCTCATCTATAACCTTCAGAAGTCCTTGACCATTGTACAGTGGGAAGCAAGCTTCCTCTTTTCTTCCAGTGGCCCTAGAAAGTGGATTTTGTTGTTTTATCCATGATGTGGTCTGACAAAGACTACCCAAATACCTCATGTGCTGTATTGATTAAATAGCAAACCAAAAGAAACCCACATAGTTAAATGGGTCTTCTCAGTTTTCTAATGAATTTAGGAAACATTGCATACTACAGAGATATTAATGTATTTTTATTCCATATAATATTTTTCAAAATAGTAAAATTGCATTTGAATCTAGTTTTTCATTGTCTTCAATCAAGATGGAGTCTATTTCACCTCATATATAGAGATACTCATTTCTAAAACAAATTCTTTTTCTATGATATGAAGTCTTATTGAAGTCTTATGTGAAGTATCATTGTTTTAAGTTTATAATATAATTGATACTTTGACCTAAATAAATGAAATTTATGATATTCCTTCAACTTTGAATTATTTATTTTCATATTAGAATATCTTGAGTTAACTATTTGGTTTTAAAGACAAATTTTTTTAAGTTAAAAACAGACCTCATTTATGTAAAGAATGGTATGTTTAAACTTACAGGAAAGGCATTTTAAAAAGTAAACAATCTGGACAAAACTCAAGCTCATTGCTTCAAGTTGAAAGTGGCTTATAGTTGACCTTCCATTGGGGTTTCCAAAGCGGTAAATTACATGGCTGGAGCTTGCCTCTCTTTTCCCCTCAGAGCAGCTGGTAGAGTCAAACTTCCAGAACTACAACCTTTAGATTAGCTGTGTAATAGATGCAAAAATGAACACAAGCCTCCAAAACCCTCAAACTATTTGACATTGAGTAGGAATGCTTATCCGAATCTCCAATGGCTTTCTGAGGCTGTAAACCATGTGGGAGGAAATTACTTGTCTTTCTCCCACAGAGCATCTGGTGGATTTGAACTGTCTGCCTTTGGATGGGCAGTGCAATTCCTTGCCTCTAAATTACCAGAGCTCCCTGTACTAGTTCTAGTCAACCTGTAATGTAACCATATCCAAGTATTGTAATTGCTTTTTGGTTAAATTTTTGTTTTAAAATTATTATAGACTTTGTTTTAAAATAATTATAGACTTAAAAGAAGTTGCAAAAATAGTGCAAAGATTCTTGTATAACCTCCACCCAGCTTCTTCCATGTGGCATATTATGCAACAATAATGCAATCTTAGAACCAGAGAATTCAGTCCATTAGTCTTAACTAGACTATAGATGTTACTCAGTTTTATCATTTAAGACTGCTGTTTGCACTTATAAGAAAAACAATACTGTCTGAGATGAGAACTGAAAATATTTGCTTCTAAATCCCTCAGTAAATAAGGTTCTAAGCGCTCATTTTCCCCAAATTAAGAACTGGTAAGTTAGAATTTTAAAGTATTACTAAACTTTACAAAATGAATCCTTAAAGATTTAGAAGATATGGGATTAAAAAAGGCAATATTAAGAAATTGAAAAGTATTATAAAGATATTTTACCTTCTTTCAATAAAAGAATCTGTCTTACTGGAAAAAAAAGATACTTCTTTCTGTTGTGATGGTATAATTTCTGTTTTTATAAATGCTTAGATTCTTTTTTATATAAAACTGGCTACTATTTTCTAAGTAGCAAAGTACTGTTCTTAATTAACATAAATGACCTCATAAAACTTAATCTACTGCTCTAGACTATACTTGAGGAAAATATAATTTAAAGAATTAGATTTATGTCCTATATATAAAACAAAAGTAAAACCTTATGTGATTTTTTAAAGTTATGTCTAATTTAGTAGCTAGACAATATTTTAACTGTAAATGTGAAACTTTTATTTTAAAATATTTAAGTAGTATCGCGAACCTACTGTTACTATCTGGTCATTTCAGAATGTTTTAAGTACTTTATAATGCACCAAAATAATAATATACATAATGTATGTTATACTTAAACATATCACGTTATTGAAAATGTTTGTCTTATTAAATAAATACATTGAATGTGGTAGCTCAGATGTTTGACCTACTAGGAACTACCACACCCATGTACATCCAGGTCACATTTGTGTTCTTGGGTGAGTGCTGAAAGATAAAGTAGTATTGGAAGGTGCTAACTTGGACAAAAATACCTCCTTTTATTTACAAAAAAAAAAGTTACATCCAGTTGAATAATTGCAGTTACAATTTTAACATCAGTTCCCACCTCCTAACTATCAATATTTTAAAAATTGTTGTGTACCATTGAGTCGAAACTTAACCCATAGCTGACTCTCCAGCAGGTTTGCAGAAGCAGTAAATCTCATGGGAGGAGATTGCCCATCTTTCTTCCCAGAGGAGCTGTTGGTTCCGAACCACGTGCTTTTGGGATTGTAGCATAACTTCTTCTACTAGATCATCAGAGCTCTTTTTTATATTTCCAAAGAGAACTGTTTTTTCTTTTGGCTTTCATAAAGAAATTTTCCATTTGTTGTTGTTGCTGTGAACCATTGAATTGAAACTGACTTATAACTGACCCTCCAGTGAGTTTTCAGAGACTATAAATCGCAGGGGAGAAATTGCCTTTCTTTTTCCCTTGGAGCAGCTGGTAGATTTGAACTGCGTGCTTATGTATAGGCAGCACTGTTTCTTACCACTGGGCCACTAGAGGTCCATAATTCTGCCATTTACAATGCAGTAAAATAATAAAAACTCGGAATCACTGCAGTCGAATTGGAACTGACTCAGAGCTGACTGTTTTAGATTTCAGGAGGCTCTAAATCACCTGGGAAGAGATTGCTTGTCTTTCCAGACTCACTAGTGGACTTGAACCACCTCTGGCTTAGCCTCACAGCTCTCTATGGACTATGCCACCAGAGCTCCCTAGTGAAAGAATAGTGTGGCTTAATATATCTTACTTTCAAAATATTATACCATAAGACTAGAAGTTTAAAGGGCTTAGAATAGCCTTTAGCTTGGGAAAAGCTTATTTTGTGTTGTTTTTATTGTAAGATTATCTGTAGTTCCAAATATAGATTGTCCATATGTTCACCAAGGCAACTGTTTTCCTAGTTTTACACATAGCCTCTCCCAAATTCAGCTAAGTTCAGTTTTCAGGTTTGTATTTCCTTCAAAATTTATTTGGCAAATAGCGCTGGGGAATAAATCTTCCCGTCACACACATGGAGTGCCCTTTTAAAAGCAAGTATCTTCACATTGACATTGCACCCCCAGAATGAAAGGCAGAGATAACGTAACAACACATACATTTTTAATATTGCTGCCAGCTTCTGGTTAAGGAAGAAGAGAATCTGTGTTGCAGTGCACAGGTGCTCAGGCGGGGCCACAGCAGTGGAGGTGAGTAGGTAGAATGTCCCAGCTACCATGCAGTTGATAAAGCTGAGTTGTATTGAAACACCAACACCATGAGCAGCACTAATGTGGCTCCATTTTCCAAAACTCTTGACAAAGTTATGCATAGAGTTGTTTTTAAAAAAGCCCTGCTTTTGATTTTTTTTATATGGTGGTTGCATTCTTAGAAAGTTCAGTGCATATTAACAGAATTCAGAAATGTTCTGTTCTTCCTATAACATTTGAGTTTGCACCTTGGTTTAGAAAATTACAAACCTTTCTGGTTATTTTACTGATACGTATGGTCTAAGGACATTTGAAATTTGGTGAGCTGCAAAAGTGTCCTTGATACTGCCTTTCCATGCCCTGAAGGATGTCCTTCCTCTGAACGTTCTTGACCCACTCCTCCTTATAAATGCCACTTTTGCAGTCGTTCAGTCTTTGAGATAAACAAAAAATGCCCCCGCTGATTTCTAAACTTTTTCCCAAGGGCATTGTATGCCCTATGAGAACTGTTCAGAACAGGACTGATCCTCACATGTAAACATTAATGTATCAGAGTCTGACAGTGTACAGGTGGTTGTTGTTGTTGTTGTTAGGTGCCATCAAGTCAGCTATGACTTGTAGTACCCCTGTGAATGACAGATCTGAACCGTGCCCTCTCCTGTGCCATCCATACCTTCTCTGATATAAACCTGAGTTCCTTTCACATCTCTAGCTTTTATGAAAGACCTACATCTGTACCTGTATTCACTAACCAAAAGAAATCTGAAAAGGATTTTCACTTTGATGGAAGAAAGGTGAAATGTAAAAGGAATGTACCCCTTTGTTTCACAGGGCTCTAATTAGGGTCACGATGAGCAGCAAAGAGTGGCATCACTAGCCTTCTTCCCTGGGAATGCCGCTCAGCGTCTCATCAAGCCGCCATAGCTTCCAGCTATGTCTGTGGACACTAACTTTGTGTTGTTTTAGGTGCTGTTTCGTATAATGTGACAGGTTATTTTGAGGGGTCTAGTTATTCTCCAGATTTTTCCCATATAAATTAATGGTCATTTCTCATTTGTTATAAACCATTTCAGCATGTAAAAGATTTCCTAGAACACTGTACTCTTGTATAGCAGGGGAACCCAGTATCTGTTTGACCTAAACAAAACCATAATGAGTCCTGTGTTGTTATGGATTAAATTGTGTACTCTCAAAATATATGTATACCCTAAAAAATATATGTGTTGTAAATCCTAATGGCTCTGGTTATATGCACATTTGGGAATAAAGTGCCTTTGTTGTGCTAGTGAGGTGAGATTGGTGCAGGATGCATTTGAAATCAAACTCTGATAAAAGAGATGGAAAAACAAGCAAACAAAAGAAGTGAAAAAATAAATAAATAAATAAAGCGGAGATAAGAGAACATGAAGATCACCCAGGAACAGAAGCTCCAAAGAGACAAGGACCTTCATCCAGAGCCAATGAAGAGTAAAAGCCTTCCCACACAGCCAGCCTCCAGAATTTGGATTGCTAGCCTCCTACACTGTGAGGGAAAAAGAGGTTCTGGTTGTTAAAGCCACCCACTTGTGACATTTCTGTTACCGCAACACTTCTTCTAAAACATGTATTCAAAATGTTTTTCCAGTGAGAAAATGTGCACATCTTTAAATTACCTCTATCTTCTGTGCTTTTGATACCTTCACACTCGTATGTCTACTGTCAAAACAAACTGCTTTCCCAGTTGCCTGTAAAAGTATGGTGACCAATTTATTGATTTAATCCTAATATTTAAATCTCAACGTACCCCTTTCCCACTATCATTTCTTTTACACTCAAGACTTTGCTGTGTTGCATGTGTTATATTGGACAAGATTTCTCAAGCAACTGTGATTCTTAAGGAGAAGTGTATGCATGTTTTAAGAAAGACTTATAGCATTGGGCAAATCTGCTGCAGAAGAACTCTTTGAAGAGTTAGAAAATAAAAATGTCACTTTGAGGAGTAGTGTATGCCTGATCCAAGCAATGATATTTTCAATTGCCCATATGCATGTGATAGCTAGATACTGAATAAGGAAGATAAGAGGAATTACTGCCTTTGAATTATGATGTTGATGAAGACTATTGAATATACGATGATTTGCCAGAAGAAAAATCAAATTTGTCTTAGAAGAAGTGCACCCAGAATGCCCCACAAAGCAAGGATGTTCAGCTTATGTCTTTTGGGTGTTTTATCCCAAAACTGTAAGGTGGGAATAGTTCCTAGAGAAGGACACCATATTTAGTCCTTCTAAGGTGGAGGGAGCATCAGTGGGAACGAGAAAGGCGCTCAAAGAGATGGATTTCTTTAGTAGCTATCACATTAGTCCCAAACAGCGTAGGTTGTGAGGATGTAGTAGTGAGAAATGCTTTATCTGTTGGAAATAGCATCCCTGTGAGTAGGAACCAGTGTGATAGCACATAACAGCAGCATAAGCATATTTACAAATCAGATATGAATCTAAACAGAAATTCTCTTCAGTAATTTTTTAATTATGGGACGCTTTCAATTTCCTGTCATGTTATGCTGATAAATGATTTTGTTTATGATTCTCCAATTAATTTTTGCTTGCATTGGTCACTAATTCCTTGTGGTTTTATTATGTTTCATTTTCTCTCTGTATATTTTAGAGATTAACCATTCCAAGCAGTTGTCCCAGAAGTTTTGCTGAACTGTTACATCAGTGTTGGGAAGCTGATGCCAAGGTACGGAGGGTTTTTAGCTGTTCAGGATTCTTTGTTTAGCTTTTAAAACATGGGATAATAAAGTGCTTTACAAAGCTCAGCGGACACTGCTGTTTCTTCAAGGCCATGATTGATAAGGCTTGCTGATGCTGTTTCACTTCCTGCATCTCCAGAAAGTCCATTTTGACCTTTTGTACATTTCTTTGGGGCATTCTTGACTCAAGAAAGGTAATCTTTAGTATTTTTTTAAATAAAGCTTCAGTCATAACTATTGCACAACTATAAATATTGTTATAAAAGTAGTTAACACACAGTGTCTATTCTGTGCCAAGAGCTGTTCAACTATTTTATGTATATTAACTCATTTATTCCTTAGACTACCCCTATGAATCACTTTCTCTAACTAATTTCTGTCAAGCCACAATCAACCTATAGCTGACCCTCCAGCAGGTTTTCAGAGAGTGTAAATCTCACAGGAGGAATTTGCCTGTCTTATCCTCAAGGAGCAACTAATTGCATGCATTCAGGTTGGCAGCACAACTCCGTACCGCTGGCCACAGAGCTCGTTATGAAAGAAATACTGTCATTTATCCCCACTGTGCATGAGGCAAAGCAAGGTACACAGAGGTTAAGGAATGAACTCGAAGCTACACAGCTAGTCAGTGTTGGGGTGGGCATGAACCCATGCAGTCTGGCATGAGTCCCTGCCCCTAACCACTTCACCATATTGCTTTCCTAACCAGAGACCAGGCAGAAGAAATCCTTCTAGAGAATCTTGTCTCTGTTCAGTCTCAGTGATGTTTTTAAGCTGTTAGAATAGAGTTGGAGAAATTCCAAAGTTTAGGCTTTCATGTGGTTATCACATTTGAGCATGAATGGTCCATTTCCTTTCCCTGCAAAGATCATTTTAAAAGACTCACACATACATACGGAAATATTTACAGATGAAATGATAGGGTAGTCTTGGATTTGCTTCAAAATAAAGTAGACAGAAATGGATGAGGATCATTTTTGAAGCTGAATGATAAGTTCATGGAGGTTAGTTATATTGCCCTTTCTTACTTTTATATATGTTTAAAACTTTCCATAGTAAAAGTAAAAAAAAAAAAAATAGATTCACAGATTCAACATTCAATTAAGAAGGCAATTACACATGAGAAAAGAACTAAAATTTTATGGTGCCAATCCATCCGGTTTTTCATGAAAATAGATTAATAAAACTAACCTATTCAATAGGCACCTTAAAAGAATAACTTAATGATATTTCTTCCTTAATTTAAACCCATTTCAAACTTTACCCCCTTAAACTGCAAAAGCCTGCATGGTAATACATATAGTCTGTTCTTCTGTAGCTTGTCTTTAGTGTGAATAACACATAAAAGCTCAGTGAATAGGGGAATTATGTTAGTATCACATAGCACTCATGTTGATTGATGCAGCATAGCTTTTTCCATCACATCACACTATCAGATAAGAATGTAACAAAAGCTGAATGTAAAGTTTGATGTTGCAGCCACATGTAGCAAGGAGCATAGCCCTGTGAAGCTGTCGCCCCGCATGCTCCTTGGTGGCTGGCTGGGACATTGCATTGTCTTAGAAGAATTTGTTGCTAGTTGTTTTTAATTTGTAAATTTTACCTTTGCCATTATAACTAACAACTTTGACCTTTGCTTTCCCTCTTGTCCATAAAATTGTATTCACTCTTTTATTCAGTATACCCCTAAATTGTAAGAGCCTACATTTATACATTTTAATATATATTAAGTATCTCTAATAGCATAGTGTATAACATATCTGGCTGTTAATTCAAAGGTTGCCGGTTTGAATCCACAAGCTGATCATTTGGGGAACAATGGATAGTCTTCTCTTATCAAGATTTACAAACTCAGGAACATAGTAGAGAGTTGCTACAAGTCAGAACCGACACAACAGCAGTGGGCTTAGATACACACACAACACTTTATTTAGTACTTTTTTAGTAAAGAATTTTAACTGGTTTTTAATTATTGAATTTTTATTTAGGATTGTTATATTTTAATACTATCCTATGGCAAAATTGGGAGCTCATGTGGCCTGGTGGATAAAGAATTGCTCTGTCAATCCAAAGACAGGTGACTCAAATCCACCAGCTGCCCCTTGGGAGAAAGATGAACAGTCTCCTCCCCTGGGATTTACAGCCTCTGAAAGCTTGCTGGATGGTTAGTTATGAGTCAGATCCAACAGGCCAGCAGAGGGGAAAAATATTTTGAAGTTGCAGTGATTATGTTTTAATAATGATCTATAAAAGATGAAGTCTTGCCTGCCCTTATTCAGACCCTAGTATTTTTCGTGTATGACTTTGCAGAATCTAAAAATTTTTAGGCATGGAAAGAAATGCTTGCATTTTGACTCTAACTTAGTTGAAACTATAGCCACTGTTTGTGAGCTTGCTTTTAGAACATTTATTTTGTAACTTTTAAATATTACTGTACTAATCATTCTCAATACCAGTCATTTTGGTAATATTCTTATATCTGACAAGTTTCATGTAAAGTTATTTGCATTGAATTCTATTTATCCAACTAGACACCTCCAATTATATTTCAGTATACAACATAGATTTTGGATTTTGAAAATTGGAAATTCTATTACATCAATTAATATTCTGTGAATTATGCATTTAAATGACGTTCATTAAATGTTAGTATCAGCATCTCACACAACAAGGATATTAATCACAGGGCTGATGCCATTGAAGGTAGAATATTGCATAGTTTATGTTTAGTAAGCAGGTCCTTTACCCATTAACCCATTGCCAGCAAGTTTATTCTGCTTCATCACAACCGGTTTTTTAAGGACCAAAGAAAAACTACTTTTCAATCAGATGAAATAGAAAAATGTCATGATTGATTTTAAATCCTAAGTCTACGATTCTCTATTCTAATAAAACTAATACGTACCCTCTGAAAGCTCAGTTTATACACTCAGCTACCAGCCACGTGTCCAGGTCTTTTTTATTTCTCAGGTTGAGCTCCCCTAGGCGCACCTCACATAACGCCTTCATACCCTGCACATATTCTCTCCCCTTATTTTCTTTTATCTCCTAATACTTCAGGATCAATACTTATCTGGTCAGTTTGTTTACTCCAGCCCATACTTCATGTACCCTCTGGTCATTTCTGTCTTGTTGTTTGATATTTCACACATATGACAACTGCAAAAAAATCTACTGCCCAACTAATCTATGCATTGATGACATGCATATGGCAGTATGAGGGGAAAACAACCATGGCTGTGATGGTGGAGGTTATATGTCACTTGGCTGGCCCCTGATCCTCAGAGGTCTAGCCCTTATGCTATGATACAATTTGACAATTATGAAATGATGTAATTTGGTAACTATGGAGTAGTGTAGTCACTTCTATTTTGGATGTGGTATGGTCATCCTCCATTTGATCTTTGGAGCCTAACCATTTCAGTACATGAAGAGGTTCCACTGCTTTTCTGTACCATCTCAACTCTTAAAATCTGAGCTACTATGAATCTTTTAATGTTTTTTTCTTAAAAGTTTGTAAGTTTATGAAGATCTTTTTCATATGTATTTCCTTGTAGAACCTTACTAAATTTAGTAAGTAGGTTTTCTGATGTTGTTAACTAAAATACCACACCAAGGTAAATCTCCTGAAAAGCACACCTTAGTTCTCTTGCTAGATATATAACAGTTCATTCAGGTGTTGGTGCCAGACCTGTGCATACAGAGAGAGAGTAATGGGTTAGTTAAAATATTTTCTTTCTCTTACTCTGAGTTCTCAGAGAGTATTCATCTGGCCTATAGAAAAGTTTCATTTCTTTTGCAATGAAAAAGTAGAAAATGCTGGTAACAGGTAAATGTGGGGTCATCTTAATGATTCACAGGAGAGATAGAAGAATTTATTAAAAAAAGGAAAGACAGGGTGAATATGAATCCATATTCTAAAATAACGTTTCTAGACTAGGAAAAATAATAGCAAAAGTAATGAATTTTGGTAGAAAGCCATATATTGTCATTGTGTAGTAAAAGACTTGGAAGTAATGTGCTGTAGTGATTTTGAGAGCATGACTCTTGTCAAGTCCACCAATTTTGCAGATGAATTATTCTGTAGCAAGAGAACTAAGATGTGTCTTTCAGGAAACTTCTTTTTATATGGTTAGATAATTTCCTTCCTGTGTGATTCTGAGCATTTATGACATTTCTGGGACAGATTTCCCTCATCAGTAAAATGAAGGTGAAAAATAAAGTTGTTGTTAGATACCATTGAATCGATATGGCCAGTAGCAACACTGTGAACAAGAGATTAGACTTTTGCTCTTTCCTGCCCCATCCTCACAGTCCTGTTGTGCTGGAGCCCATTCTTCCCGTCACTGTGGTCTGTCAGTCCATCTTTCTGACAGTCTTCCTCTCCTTCTCTGACCCTCCACCTTTCCCAACATGCTGTCTTTTTCCAAGGACGGACCCCTCCTGACAACAGTCCCAAAGCATGTGAGATAATGTGTCACCATCTTTCCTCTAAGGAGCACCTACGTGGGTTGCCCTTCCTGCAAGGCAGACTTGTTTATTCTTTTGGACAGTCTACAGGACAGTCAGTCACAACAAATACAGAGATGTGGACCTAAGTACTAATACATGGCCCTAGTTTTCAATTTTTTTTTTTAACAAGCAAAGTTTATGTATCTAACACTAATTAAAGCAACTTGAGTCCCTTCAAAGGACCTTATAGAGTTTGTATTCTGTAACCCGAGTACTCATTTCCACAGGAATCTATGTTGTCATATTTTTAATCATATTTTGTTCTATCTTTTTTAGGGATGCCTAACAACCCTAAAAGTTTAACCGTAGTTTGAGAATCTAATATAGGGAAAAACATTGTTCATTTGCTCCTCCTGCTGTTTTCCTATGAAAAGGAAAAGCTATTATTTGTGAAATAATTAGTTCCTGTGCACACAATTAAAAGATCCCCCCCTTTTCCAGTTTGACATATGGTAGAAGAATTAAATTGGGAACAAAGTTAAAAGAAGGCAAACAATGTTTTTCAAGTTTTTAAAGGCCTTTTTTTCTCATTTCTGTTAGAAGGTATAATATGCATCAGTGACATTTAGCAAGTTTTGTCCTCTCCTTAAACACACACACACACACACACACACACACGCTTAAATGAGTATAATAATAATAATAATGATGAATTCAGAAAAAAGTATCTCAGATTTATATCCCTGAAAAGTGAAAAAAATTGCCTTTTTTACTAATGTAGGAAGCACTCAGTACTTAAGAGCGAGCACGCCACCTCAGCATTGTTCCTGCTTGTTTTTGTGCTCCCAAATTAAAATGCATGTTTAATTGCTGCAACTGTAATTTGTTCAGAAATGGTATAATTATGAGGCGTGATGGAGAGAGAATGTGCATCATCCTTTTATTATCTTTCTCCATTTTTGTTTTAACCTTTTGTCTCAACCTTGGCTGGAATCTCAAGAGTAATCTCAAGACTAATGTAGTTACAGCTAACTAAAAAAAATAGGCTTTGCCACTGCCGTTTCAATTTCTAGTGAACAGTGCCTTAGAGTTTTCAGCACTCAAGCTAGTTATCCTATGGAATAAATACTAAAAATGATGACATTATGGTGATTTTTCAATTGGAAGGTTTGTTTTGGGGTTTTTTTCCCCTAAGTTACTGGTGTGGGGAATTTCCTTTTTTTACAATACATAGATTTACCGCAGTGCCCAACATTTTATTCTATTTTCAAACACACTGATAAGTTAAAGAATTTTCGTTTGAACACTACCCGGACTCTCCTGTTAACCTTCCACTTGAACTGTTGTGTTGGTGAAGAGTACTGATTGTCTCATGGACTATCAAAAGAACAACTAAATCTATCACAGGAAGTGCAACCAGGGTGCTCCTCAGAGGCAAGGAGAGAGAAAACTTTGCCTCACGTACTTTGCACATGTTGCCTAGAGGCGCCAATCCTTGGAAAAAGGCATCATGCTGAGGAAGGTGGTGGAGGTTGTTACTGTTACTGGAATGCACCCATAGCTGGGTTTTCAGAGGTAATAAATCACATGGGAGTTGATTGTCTATCTTCCTCCCACGGAGCAGCTGGTGGATTCAAATCACATACCTTCAGGTTGGCAGCACAGCTCCTTACCACTAGGCCACCAGAGCTCCATGGGAAAGGTGAAGGGTCAGAGAAAGAGAGTACAACCTTCAGCAAGATGGATTGACACAGTGACTGGTCCAGTAGGCTGGAGCATCTCAGAGATGGCGAGGATGGTGAGGAGAGTGAAAGCTTCACATCTGTTGCTCACACGGGGTCACAAGGAGCCGTAGACGACTCAGTGGCACCTGATATCAACATACTTATTTTGTCACACAAACATATTTTTTTATTTTATTATTTTGCATGTGTGTGCCATCAAATCGGATCTGATAGGTATAGGAGGAGATTGTTCCTCCTTCTCCAACAGAGCACCTGGTGGATTCGAACCTTGTACCTCTGGAATTGCAGTGCAGCTTCTTGCCACCAGGCCACCAGAGCTCCCTAACACAAACATATTTTTATAAAAGTAATTTTTTTTCTTTTCAGGAGTCTTACTCATAAGTCGAAAAGAATTGCTCTTGTCTTTTACTTAGGAAAAAAAATAACCATTGTTATTTCATCCTTGGACCATGAAATAGGAACATATGTAATTGTCTGTTCTTGTTGTTTGGAAATAGAGACTATAGTTCCTTGAACCTGACTTAGCTAATGTTCAGAGAATAACTGAACCAGAACTGTATCATGTTGTATTTTGCTGTAGTGATTGAGAGTACTATACTTGCAAATACATGCCTCTTAATGATCCAATTTCTCAAGTCCCCATAAGTGAATGCGTATTTTCTCTTCCTCAGAAACGGCCATCATTCAAACAAATCATTTCCATTTTGGAGTCCATGTCAAATGACACTAGCCTTCCTGACCAGTGTAACTCGTTCCTGCACAACAAGGCTGAGTGGAGGTAGGTAGCCTGGACACTGGAGGCCACGTCCTGCTCCACAGGACCTCGAACAGCTTCAGTCAGATGCTTGATGGAAGGCCTGACACTCAAGGAAGGTTTAAAAATACGGTGTCTTTTAGCTTGAATAAATCTTCTGTTTCACATGTAAGGAAAAAAGTTTTCCTCTAAGTTATTTTACCTTATCATATGTGATAAGTATTTGACAAGAACATTGAAATAATCTCTTTTGTGACAAATGATGGCTACCAAGCGATTCTTTTTCTAAATGCTGTTTTAGGAGACTTTGGCCTCTGCAAACGGACATAAAAATACCATTTGCCTTGAAGTTTGCAGAGGATGGGATAGGGAAAGTATAAAAATACACTTTAAAAGAAAACTTTTAATGCTTTAAATGCAATTAAATGTTCTGAAGTGTAAAAACAAACTTAGTAATGAGGGAATTGTGTGAGTGGGACAAGCAAGCCCAGGATGGAATGGTTGAACCAGGTCACATGATGCATGGGTATAAACAGCATGTTTGGGAGCTGACACAATTCCTCCCCTGACTCAGCAGAGATTTTAAGTAACTTCATCTCTGTGCCTGCCAGCCAAGGTGGTAACGTGACACCTTGCGCCATCTGCTGCTTCCAAGTGATTACTGCATGTATGTAGAAAAGCTGTTTTCTTTGGCCTTTCTGTTGGAGTTTTAAAGTAACAGTATCTATTTTATAATTTTGAAATCTCTATCTCCAACCAGTGAGTTAAATTGATTTTCATTTAGCAGATACAGTAGTAACGCTGCGAGCTTGAATCTAGCATTGAGGGATTTTTTTTTTTCCTGGCTGAAAGAATTAAAATGTAGTGTTTGTTCCTTTCAGAGAGATATCAGCAAATAAAGCAAAATCATTCCCCTTTAAAATCTAGATATGAGCTCCTGTTTCTGGCAAGGTAATGACTAATGTACTTAATAGGACTCCTAAAACCCTCTGCCCTCCTCTCATCATCACTTGAGCTTCTGATTTCTCTCAGTTCTTCAACAACAGATGCATAATTTTTCCACATTCAGGATCTTTGCAAACTTAGTTTATTTAAAACTCATTCTGTTTCAGCTGCATACTACCCTGACCCCCACCCCCACCACACTTAGATCCTCTGTCATTCAAAGACCTGCTGAAATGGCACGTCTTCAGGGAAGTATTTCCCAGACCCAGGATATATCAGATCTCATGCTATATGCATCTCAGTGTGGCCTTTACAGCATTAACAAGTAACTCTGTAGTGTGTTTGGTCTTGTATGTGTCTGAGCCCACAGCTTCTAGAATGTGCCTTGAGCACAACTCGTTGCTCAGTGCACATTTAGGGAAAAAGAAAACACTATCGTGGAGATGCTGTGTAAAACCACTGTGATATTATACATGAATATAAAATTTAGTAAATTCTCCAAAACTCATTGCTGTCCTTTCCAGCAGGTTCCCAAGGCTCCTAACGGAATGAGTGGAGATAGCCCATCTTTCTCCCTCAGAGTAACAGGTGGATTTGAACTGCCGGAGAGGCAGGACCCCTGGGTTAGCAGCACAACTTTCTGCAGACTACACCACTGGAGCTACCTAAAAACGCAGTTATCATGCTTGCTATAATAAACATCCATGCATTCGTTCAGATATCCTCTGGGTGTGGGGCTATAGTGATGAGCAGAACAGTCCCAGTGCACACTGGTGCTTTCCAGCATGAGTATCTGGTATTAACTCCTAAATGTAAATATACAAATAATTATTATCAGTACTGTTTCAATAGGTATTATGGCAGAGAAGTGCTGGATGCCTAAGTGCTTATAACCAAGAAACCTGATTTAGCCTGAGGGTGTAATAAAAGAATCCCCTGAAGAGATTTTTTGTTTGATCTGTTACCCAGAGGATTAGTAGGATTTTAATGCTCCTATTAATACTCTTGAGATAAGTTGTCTTTTCAAGTACAACAGCAAAATCAGAGAAGCATGGTGGGATAAGGTAGGAATAGGAAAGTTTGCTATATAAAAATTTGAAACTTATATTTGGTCAAAAAGTGTACAATAAGTCCATCAGAGTACATTTCAAGACAAATAGTATACTCTTGGAATTTTTATTCCTCCTATATGATGAACCAACAATTCTAAGGATTTTTTTGTCTCGAGATTCCAGATGGTTTTGAAATTGATTGAAAACTCCAAAGAGAACTTGTTCAAATGAGTTATGTCTATCACTATTTATCATGTTAGAAACTAAAACTAAGAACATATTTATTAATTTAAAAACTAATTTTTCATTTATTCACTTAGAAAGCAATCATAAGTCCTGGTTCTGCATATAGCCTGTTGTAGTATCACAAATCATGAAGCCTCTTGAAAAGGCCATTGAAATTGTGGGAGCATGAGAACAGAAAAAACAAATAATGTCTTACTGCTTTCCTGAAACAAATACAACCTTGAATATTCTTTAAAAAGAGTCTCATCATCTCTAGACAATACTTGAAAACTGTTCTTTGATTGAAAAAGCACTCTTGATAACATTTTATTGCTGGGTAAACTTTTCACTGAAGACAAAATAAAACATACTTTTCAATAAAATTTACATTTTTAAAAACTATATCAAAGAGCATGACAATGCATTTCACAAAAAGAGAAATCAAATTAATAGTGAACTAAGGAAATACTGTTCCCAAGTATGTGAGATATTATTTTATGAAAACATTCCAGTCTTTCTCACATGTTGGTTGGGAGGCATGTGCTACTCTTTGGAGGCCAATTTGACCATTTAGATTAGATGCCTGAAAAATATTTCTGTTTATCCCAGAAATTCTATGACTAGTGTTTTATTTGTAAGAAAGTGAATGGGAAGGTTGTACAAGGAAGTATGGATACTGTGGATGTATGGAGCAATGATTAGAATTATACAACTGGAAATGACATAAAGTACTATAAAATATATTGTTTAAATAATTTTTATTCTTGCATATGGAATATTACAGAGCTATTATTAATTATTCACATCTGTGTTTATTAAGAGAATTGCTGTTTATGCTCAGTGATTTTAAAATACTGGCCACAATCTCATTTGTTTAGAAAAATTCCGTTATCTTCAAAGAAATATCTGAAATACCTGAAAAGGTGTTAGAAGGTGTGCTCTCTGCTGGGTTATGGAAAGGCAGGAAATACCTTTGCATACCTTTGTTATTTACCTTAAACTTTGTAATTAACAGTAAATTATATATATGTCTTTATAATAATTTTTAATGTTTTAAGAAAAAAATTTAAATATTTCAAGAAGAAAATATGGGATTAAAATAGATAGTAGAAAATGGTCAGGGGGAAGAGAAAATGCATTATTGATGCTTTTAGTAATAACCAAATAGTTACCAAGTGACCAGTGTCATGCCATGTACTCATTAGCAATATTGAAGAGAATGATCGCACAGCATGATCATCAGAGGGTTTGATGAAGGTGAAAAAACACTCTCATAATTGTATTCAGTATTGGAAAGCAGAATGTGTTTTGTCACATCATCTGCGTATTTCAAATATGTAACTGATTAGATTTCAAAGAACAGAACATTTGGATGACTCTGTTCTTTCCCCATCTTTTGTCTGGTGTCTGAAATCATGTCACTGTGGTCTGGAGTGTATCTGAGTAAACTAGAATCATGATGAAGTCTGCATCCAGCCCTGCTCCGGTATTTTTGGCAAATCACAGTTTTCTGGTAGAGTTTCCTCATCAAGATGGGAAATTTCCAGCTATCTATATTTAGAAAATGAATGAATGATTATTCTGAGATTTTGTTTTTAAAGAAGCCTATTTATATTTTTTTAAAAAATCATATGCACTTAAGTTTTTTTCTTTTACCTTTCTAATTGATAGGAAATAAACATGGAATGTCAGGCATCGTAGTGCCATTCAGATCTTCAGCTAGTTTCACTCATTGCTGGGCTAGCAGTCATGCAGGGACAGAAGGTGCCCCCACCCTTTTTGTTCATGCTTCATCCACACTCTGGATTTTATTGACCCATGTGTTTGTCTGCAGCCCCATGGTAATCCGCTCGGAGTGACCTGCGTAGTGTCGTTATGGAAAGTTCAAGTTGATGTTTCTTGGAAAACACTGTCATTTGTGTTCTTCCATGGTGATCAGATAATCCGTACCATGACATGCCTTGTTAAAAACTAAAAGTAGGATTAAAAAACCCCCCAACAACCTTTAATTTTTGCAATGGGGATGTTAGCAAGCCTCATGTAATTTAATATATAAAATCTACTGTGCATATTATATATTTATCATGTGATACTTAATCTATGCATAGTATATATCATGTGATTATTTAAACTGTGCATAGGATATATTTCTCATGTGATTATTTAATACTATACATATTTATCACGTAAAGTATGTACATTGCTTTTTCAGTCTGTCCTTTTCTTTCAAAGAAATTTCTATCTAATGGTAAAAGAAAATGCAATCCATTTCCCATTTTATGGCATGTGGGAAATTGATACTAGTTGAAGCCGACCATTAAAATAAGAGAAAACCATCATTTTCATCAACCAAAATACTTTTAAAAATCTGTGTTTCCATAATAGGAAGTTATAGAAATGAATCAACAAATTCATGTAAAGCAGAATAACACCCTGGATGCAGAGAATGTCAAGGGGAGCAGGTGTCTTGATGGTGTGCCCTGAGTTTTTGTCACAGCTGTCATGACGTAGAGGCTCCCAGCATTACTGGCAGACCTGGGCATCGGGGGAGGCAGATTGAGAAAAGTTTCCTCAGCCTGCATTCGTTTTGCTCTGTGCCACAGCTTTTGACTTACTTAACTGTAGATCTGTTTTCCAGAAGGGCTCAGAATCACAGTGAGTTTGCAGAGCTGAAACCTGAGATGAATCCTTGCCTTAAATTACAAGTGAAATAGAACGTGTTGACCATTTACTCTCATCAGAAAGTCCTTGAGTGGGCTCAGTCCTGCTGGCAGAAGTGTAGCCTAGGGTTTTTGGCCTTGCATGCCTTTCCCCTCCCCACCTTATTTTTCCATTTGAAAAATAGAAATAAACTTTTTTTTTTAATATGCATGGTCTATTTGTCAGCAGTACTCTGGGATAATGTTGAAGGTTTATGGAACAGACACAACTCTGAATGATTGCTGCTTTAGCACCTTTCCTTTGGGACTGTTAGAATTTACTTAGATCACTTCAGACTGCTTAGATGCCCCAATAAAAGGAGCAGACTATTGATATTTGAAGGTGGCAAAGCCAATGCTTTTTATGCTAAATTGTAATCTAACTTTCTTGGGGGTACTTTTTTTAGACAGGAGAATGAATCATTGGGTTTAAATCTAGACCCACTTCAATAGTTGTTCCCCAAATTCCATTTTAATCTAATTTGCCAGTTAATACCTTTTCTTTTCATCCCTTTAGTACTCATCTGCAGAGGTATTGGAATAAACCATGCATTTACTAATCCCAACTTTCCTGAGAAATAAAAAGGCAATGTTTGGTGCTGCTTGATGGGAGCTTCTACCTTTCACAGTCAAAGCCTCAGCTAGGATTGTGTGTTCTGAGTGGCACCTTGCAGCAGCCAATCTGTTATAGTAGCCTGTTTCCAGGCCATCTCTCTTCTCCTTTCCCACCTTCTTATCTTGCTCACTTTTTCCCTATCATATCTGCTCCACCCCCAAACCCCGTCTTATTACAATTGCTCTACTCACAGACTCACCACAAATTCAAGGGAAGGAACTTCTGGTCCCCCAAAGCATAAATTTAGACTTAAACATTGTGGCTACCTCAAAGGAGAAAATCAGTTTCTGCCAGACTATCTTTTCCAGTTTCCATTTCTTTGTGTTTTTATTACTCACCTTATTGTCCCAAGTGGTGAAGTGAGTATGTCCTATAAAGACTAAAAAGACATTTTCTTTAAAGATTATTAGAGTTCAGAAGAACCTTAGAGGTCCTATGACCCAGGGTTTTTCATACTAGCCTGATTGTAAAAATTACAGGAGTCGTCTTTTATATAATAATGGGAAATCAGTATATGAAATCAACCCCCCCAACCCTGTTGAATCATGTACTTTCCCTGAGGGTTTAGGTATCCGGTTTGGTGTGTTGGTTTTTTTAGCAAGCTTCCCAGATAGTTCCTATCTGAGGCAAGTGGGGACACCCTTGTGTAACACAACCAAGGAGACCGTTTAAGCGATTGATTACTTAGCCAATAAATAGCTTTAAGCCCCACCTCGACCGTTAACAGTGTGAGATTAATTTCCTTTATTTATAAAATGAGAGCCTATTCCTTAAAACTTGTGAGAATAAAAAGAGATAGTATATGATTCATTGAGTAAGAGTTGACCCATGTCCGACCCAACACTGGACTTCAGAGTCTGGATGTTGCTCAAGGGGAGATTGCTTGTCTTTCTCCCTCACAGCTGTTGGTAGATTCGAACCAGTGAGGCACCACCTTTGGGTGCACAGCACAGCTCTCTGAACTAACCAGAGCTCCATGAATAATAGAACTTTGTAAATTACATAGAACTAGATGAATTTTAAATATTTTGTAGCGAAGCCAGGCCACTGGTTCAGTAGCTTTTGTCACACCCCAGTGACCCTTCATTGCTTCATCTCTTGAATATATTATTCCAACTTAGAAGCTACCTGTTGATTTTTTTTTAACCTGTTGATTTTTAAGGCTACAAAAGCTTTGTTCTCTGATCTCATGATAAAAGTTGAGGCTTTAATCAGTTCTCCCTTGCAGGTGTGAAATCGAGGCTACTCTTGAGAGGCTAAAGAAACTAGAACGTGATCTCAGCTTTAAAGAGCAGGAGCTTAAGGAACGAGAAAGACGATTAAGGATGTGGGAGCAAAAACTGACGGAGCAGTCCAGCGTCCCGGTGAGTCCTAACTACAGTCACGTCTTCCTTCCTCCCTCTGTCCGAGGGCGCGGCTGAGCATGGCAGCATGGCATTGCTTCCCCTCACCTCCCTCCAACAGGAGCAGAACGAAACCTTGTCAGATTTCAGCATCTTCCTTATTTTAAGTGACTGCCCATTTGAAGGCAGGCAGGTGTAGACTTGTAATTGTTTCCCTAGTAGTTTAATGGGCAATATTTGTCCATTTAAAATATCACAAATAATGGTGAGATTAAAAGTAAACCTTTACATACTTTAAAATTCCTTTTTGAGAGTTGTTACAGTAATTATACACCCACCAAAAAGAAAAAGAAACACATGAGTGTCTTTCAGAAAGCCTTTTTGTCTTCATCTTCACAAAGCAGCCAATGCCCATTTGTAATGTCTTTTTCAGTGTATGTTGTTTGTACCGTGGAGTGGGAACTGACTCATAGCTGTTCTCCAGTGGGTTTTCAGAGGCAGTAAATCATCTTTTTCTCTTAGAGCAGCTGGTGGATTCGAACTATATGTCTTTAGGTGAGCAGCACAACGCCTTACCACTAAGCTACCAGAGCTCTTTTTTGCAGTCTTATAAGGAATAAAATAATTTTGCTTCCTTTTCCCCCCACAACTTGTGTGGAGAACCAGCCTGATATTTAAATAAGAGGAGGGGGGGAACAATTGAAGGAAATTTGATGTTGATTATTAGATTAATTTTCAAAAATGACCTGGTAATCCAGGCAATTCCAAAATAGTAATTCAATTATACTAGCCTGAGTTATTAAGAAGACATTAAAATTTTCAAGTTTGATTACTTAGCCCTTACGAACGCTATTAAGCCAGCAAGCCAACTCTGAAAGCATTGCCCTCGAGGTAAAGGAGCCATGCTTCATCCATAGCTGACCAGAGGCAGAAGCAAGAGAGTGGCCTTGTCCCTACAGCACAACTTCTGAAGTCTGAGAGGGTTTTTTTTGTTGTTCTGTTTGTGTTTTTTTTTAAGGTTATTGAAATGCTAAGCTATAAAGCACTGCATGGCTTGACTTTTCTAAATGTAATATGGTAAGAAAAAAACCTTTTCCCTACCTATTAGGGTGTGCTTTAGAACCTTTCCCCTACCTATTAGGGTGTGCTTTAGAACCTTTCTTTAGTTCACTGGCATCGGTTTTGCTAGGAAATTATGGGCTGCCTTACACTCATTATTGTTGTTAGTAATAGACTTGTGTAATAAATACTAAAGCTTGCTAGGTCTCAGTGGGTAGTTTGTTTGCTCTTGACCTCCAGGAAACTTTCTGTAAGAGTCTTGCTAAGGGCTACCTTCTAACTACAGCCAGCATGAAGCACAAGTGTGGCAAGTGTGCTCCCTTCCTCACTTGGGAGGTCTAAATGGTCTTTCTTTGCAGTGCTTGCTTTTAACGTCTCTTTGCTTAGAGCTGGTATTTCTGAAGGAAAGTAAGTTCATGTACAGGTGTTTTATACTTGCCTGTTTTCTTTTTATCCTCACATAAGTTTCTGACTTAAATTACATGAGGTTTCCAAGGGAAAGAGAAAATAACCCTTTTTAAAATGAAGTGGCTAGAGGTTTGGGCTTTCCTGTGTGTACTCTCACATTAATTAGAAAACTTTAACATTAAAAAAAAACAAACTTTAGCATTAATGTTACTTTGTACAAAAGTAGTTATTGAATTGGCCAGCAATTCCTTATTGGAAGATAAGAATACTTGTTAGGAAGTTATTAATTAGAGGGGATTCAATTTCAGTGGCAATAATTTTCCTTGGTGAAACTGCAGCATCCATCAGAGGCATTTAGCAAGGTGAATTTTCTATATGAATGTATGGGCAGAGTTTATAATTTTAAGAGTAGTTATAGCTTGGTGTCAAAATTCTTATTCACACAGTTATAAGAATAAATGGAAAACTTTTTTTAGAAACATTTGTAGACGTCTGTAGAATCTAACATAATATAAGGAAGAAAACTAGAAAACAGTAATAAGTATCAGCAACAAAGGGCCTCCAAGAGTAACAATTGAGGACAACTTTGAGAAGCTGAGAAGCTTGACTTCAAAGGAAATAATATCCTGTTTCCAGTGTTAAAGAATCTAAAGCATTTTTTTTTCTTTCCCCTTATCTGATACTTTTAAAATGAATTCATAAAAGTTTTCTTGTTGAACTAGTGACTCCAGAAGTCTTTTCCAATTAAAAATAACAACCTAAAAACTCCTCAGCTCCATCTTGAATATAAAAAGTAGAAAGTTGGTCCTCAATGATATCTTTACACTTAAGTATAAAGGATCTACCAGAGTTAATCACTTTTACACTGCTAGTCATACATTTATACATATTTAAAGGACACAAAAAATTTAACCCTTCATTTACTCATGTCTCAAAAGCAGTAATATTGTCGGTCCTGGCAGTTTTAATCGTGAAGTGATAGGCAAACATTTATGAGAGCAGGTTAGCAGATCAAAGTAATTATATTAAGGTTAAAAGAAAAATTGTAACAGCTGTGAGAATTCCTAGAGGAGAGTTTTTTGTTTGTTTTTTTCAAAGAAAAGAAGTATCTAAGTGGAGAATGGGTAGAAAGGAAACAGTCTCGACATTCATTTCCTTTCATCCCAGTTTACTTATTGGTTAAAGATCAAATGTATCTGAAATTTGTTCACAAGTGAAAGATTTCAGAGGTGGAACGAATAGTAGTAAATACATGACCTGCCTAAAATACATAATGAATGGAAGCAGGTGAAATCCTGATTAATTCATTGTCAGAACACTAGTTAATACACAATAGTTAATGACCCGAAGAGCCTTAGAACTGAATTGACTTCTGAGCTGGTTTTTCGCACTTCCTCTAAGTTTTTATTCTTTGATTCATGTTTTACTGATTTAAAAAAAAAACAAACAAACATGAAATTTGCTTTTTACTAAAGGTCTTCCTAAAATGTAATAATTAAATATAGGCTTCTTTGTGAAATCATTACTTGAGAAAAATTAAAGAGTATATTGTGATCTTTTTATGTTAAGCAAAATGAAGTTTTAGAACCAGCAACTTACTTTCCATTTGAAATTTGGCTTGCTGTGGTGCTTTATAAACTTGGTTGTGATTCCTTCTGTCATTTACAAATTATGGCAAATAGACTGGAGCCAAATGTGCCATTAAGTTCATTCTCACATGATTCCCCTGCATTCATTTGTTTCACTAATCATTTACCTTCTGTGTGATGCCAACTAATTTTATGGTATCTATTTCTTTTATTGAAATTGGTCCTAATTTCTCTTTTTGCTTCTGTCCTTTCTCCCCTTTTGATAGCTTCTCTTGCCTCTTGCTGCAAGAATGTCTGAGGAATCTTACTTTGAATCTAAAACAGAGGAGTCAAACAGTGCAGAGATGTCATGTCAGATCACAGCAGCAAGTAACGGGGAGGGGCATGGCATGAACCAAGGTCTGCAGGCCATGATGCTGATGGGCTTTGGGGACATCTTCTCAATGAACAAAGCAGGAGCTGTGCTGCATTCTGGGATGCAGATAAACATGCAAGCCAAGCAGAATTCTTCCAAAACCACATCTAAGAGAAAGGGGAAGAAAGTGAACCTGGCCTTGGGGTTCAGTGACTTTGACATGTCAGAAGGAGATGATGCTGACGGTGATGAGGAGGATAATGACATGGATAACAATAGCGAATAAAAACAGAAAGCCAAGTAATACAATTAGAAATGTTCGCGAAAACAATAGAAACTTGTTATCTCTGTCTGTACGAAAACCAGTAAGGAGGTACAGAGCCAAGCACTGCATCCTAGACTGATCACCTTTCTATAATATATGACAGCCCTTTCTGTTTTAGCTTTACTTTTGATTTTTTTTTTTTTTTTTTTTGCTTACAGAAAAATAGGGGGAAATGTAAGCCAAAAAGTGTATTTAATGAATCAGTCAGACATGGTGCCTGGTTATAGAAATGTGTGATTCTGTAGACAGGTGTGGTTTTTGTTTTGGTTATTTTTTTAATTAATAAGATTTTTTTTCTTTTTTAAAAATGCATACTTTATAGCTTATGTTTTAGTTTCCTGTATTTACTTAAAGAAGATATATTTTGAACAAATATCCTCAATTTTTAATTCTTTGATAATAATTTTCTTGTGCATATTACTTTTTTTTTTGCCTTGTAGCAATACACTGTAATGTATCAATAGTGGCTATAAAATCTAACAACAAAAAACTGACATGAAAGGAAGTTATAACAAATATTTCTTCAGAAATACCCAGTTCTAAGGATTTTCAGCACAGCCACTCAAAGTAAAGCCTGAAAATCAGTCTAAAAAGAACATTTAGGCATCCCCACCGGTGCTAACCGTGGAAGCTTGTTAACATTCTGTTATCTAAGGCTTGGCATATACTTTATACAAAGAGAAATAGAGGGCTGTGTCTCAGGCCACACTGTCAGTGCGGGCCGTGGTTGTGGGTGCTCGCGTAGGTGCATGCATTGTTTGTTTTTTCAAAAGGGGGCATATGATCCTGAATTGTATATACCTGTAAAGCTACTGTAAAAAAAAATGATAATAACATAAAAGGAACAAGAAAGCAAAGTTCTCTTCACTTAGGCAAAAGTGCAGATATAGAAAGAAGGTCCCTTTTGTTATCAGGCCTTGCGGTCACCAGTTAGCTCTTCCTTTAGACCCTGACTCAGCGCTGCTGCTGTTAGAGATTTAGATGGAGGCTCTTCTATAGACCAGGCGGACCCATGATGGCCTCACAACTGACCACGTACTATCAGCCTGAACTTAAACAGGAGAACATTTGTAACCATCCAAGGAAAAGAGAAACACTTGATGAAGACAGAGAAAATAAGAAAGCAGTGTCATTTGCTTGACTATTAAACCAAAAATTATTTTGGTGGTTCTTTCTCTAAAAGTTCTTAAGAAAGGATATCAATGTAGGTATTATCTAAGACCCTTTCTAAGTATACTTGGCCATAAGAAGTCTCTTGGAATTTGAAGTGTGGTGACTTGATTCT